GCTGTTGTAGGGCAGCAGTGTTATGCTGGTCACAACCAGGACGTAGAATGAAAGGAGGACATTTAATCCAAAATATTTCAGTTTTATTGGCCTTTGAGTTGGTCTTTACTCAACACACTAATCAAGTGTTTCCCCAACAAACTAGGTTCATAGGTGCATCTAAATATACATAACGTATACTGTATATATGAGAGAGAGAGAGAGAGAGAGAGAGAGAGGGAGATATTGTTATATAAATATATTTATATTGTAATACATAATAAAAAAATAATATATTTATTATATTATATCATATTCTGAATATATATACTTATCAGGCATGTGCACAGATAGACCCCTAATGGTGCTCAAGCACCTGCCCTTTTGCCCTGGATGAGAAAAGTGCTGACTTTTTTCTTCATTCATCAATATTTAAGAATAAAAATGGCTCTCTCTGTCATCAATTCCCCCAAATGTGTTTTGATATTTGACGGGGTATTTATTTCTTGTAAGAATTTCGCCCCAACATGCTCTGTGGCGCTCATAAGGCGCCCCCCCCCCCTCCTTCGCTTAGTGCTCATGCAGTGCTGAGCGCCAATTGGCTGCAGCATCGCAACAAGTAATGACGTTTGGTGATAAATTAACCACAACAACAAAACATTATGTCGCAACTGGTCTGACCTTTGCTAAAAAATAAACAAACAAAAAACTCACGAAATCCGTGATGTCGAAGCCTTGTCGAGCTGTTTACTGACATATGTAATGTTTAATGAAGAGAGAGGGAGAGAGATACAGGCAGGTAGAGAATTTACAGGCAGTTTGTACTGTTCTACTAAAAAAAACTTAAGTTTAGCTACATGACAGTCTGGTGAGGTATATTATTGTATATTATTAGTGTAATGCTGCTAATGCTTCAACTCTGCCAGAAAACATTAAAAGAAATGTGTGTGTGTGTGTGTGTGTGTGTGTGTGTGTGTGTGTGTGTGTGTGTGTGTTGTCGGCTTCATAGAGATTATGTAAGTCAGTCTTTATTATGCACAACATTGATTTATGTCATTTACAAAGTTTGCAGCTTAATGCCAAAAAAGAGAGACTCCAAAAGCAGAAGGACAGGGAAACTTGTTTTTTATTAATTTATTTTATTATTTTTAATTTCATGAATAACTTTTAGCACCTGCCCCCCCCCAAATGTCTGTGCACGTGCCTGATAGTGATATATCTATCTATATATAGAGATATATGTTCATTAATATACTGAATTGTTTGAATAACATGTCCTTATTCTATTAAACCGTTTTTAATAAAGTAATATTGCGTGTTTGATACCCTTATTTGGTATGATACAATTATGTTGATAATGATACAAATAATAATAATAACAATATACAATTCCCAGGGGTCTTTGTGAGAAAAAAATGTAACACAAGCAAAAGTAAAGGATTAAACACAGTTAGTCATATCAGAAAGTAAAACAATCGAAGCCACGAAAATATAATTTAAATGGTTACCTTGTGCAGGGGATGCATGTAAAAATCCATACAGGAATATACTAGAAAGGATGTGTTTTTCCATGATGACTGAAAATACTCCTTATTACACAAGGTGTGGAGAAATCTTCTGCTTGCATGCATTGCATGTGGTGATGGGACGAGGCCTCTTGCCTATTACTGGAAAAACAGGTACCCCGGCCACAAGTTTTGCAAAACAGTAAACACACTATTTTGCAAAACTTAATATCAAATGTTGTCATACAAGGCCCTTACACCATACAACAAAAGCTGCTCCCAGAGCTCTGTAACAGGACGAGAGTTGCCGCTGACAACAGCATCCTATTGGCTGCTCTCAAAGGTAGAAGCTTCCCTCAAAATACCTGTATGTCAGTCTGTCAAAAGTGCCCCAGTGTTAAGGCGTCTTGACATTCTTCTTTTGTTTGCTCTTTTCACTGATGACAGAAATATTGTTCAGGTTAGACAGCTAACATGACTTTTTAGTTTGCCACTTGTATTGCCACTTTTCTAACATTGGTTTGTGTCTTCTTGTGGACTGTACTGTTATACGTTATTTATTATTTAACAGTTAGTAATCCTTAAACAAGTACTGTGATTATTGAAACCAGGACCTTGCTAAGTGTATAGTACGCTGCAGTGTCCACCACCAGATGTCCTTCCTAAACCTTTTTTGATCCAGTGTTAAAAACAAACAATAAAACCATATGTTGTGTCCTCAAACTCATATAACCTTTGACATTTTCTACAGTGTGTTATATTTCATTGCTTCCTCAATCAGCAAGTCTTTGGACTTTATCCAAATGTGATCCCAATGTCAACAAAACTACTAGCCCATGAACATATTTGGGATTTTTTGCTGACAACTTCCTTTAACTTGATTTAGTTATTGTTTTTCCTGACAAGAAACACATCGAAATAACATTAGTCACTGCTTTAAGTCTCATGGTGTAACTTGACCTGTTACATTTCTTGTGAGTCTTTGAATGGATTCCTTGTGCTGCAGACTCAGTGTCAGTTGACTGACATTGATTACAGGTTGTTCACTGTATGTTTTTGACACCACAGGAATGAGGTGTGTTAAGCAATATTTTAAAAGTGAGCCAGTAGGACACTGCTTCTGCTGCAGTCTGCAAACCTAAGCAACTTTGTAGTATTTCTAACCCTTTTTTGACTGGTTGAAATGTCCACTTTAATTAACAAAGACAATAGAGAAAGTTAGAGATAAGTGTGTTCACATGATATGGGTTTTAATTTTACTCCTTAGTATTTTTTTCCTGTTGCTTACATGCAGTTATGAGATATTCATGAATCAAAAGTAGCTAAATTATCAGGTTAATGTTGAAGCAGGCCACAACAAATGTGTAAAAGTGCGAGAAGAGTAATGTCAGCGGCCGAGGTTTAAAAAAAAAAAAAAAAAAAAAGGTGTTGCCAATAACACCACCTAGGTAAGATCTAAGAGCCCTAGGAACTCGAAATAAATAATTAAAAACAAGGTTTGTTTGTTTGGGGAATAGCAGCTGAACAATGACCCAAAAGGAGATAGGGGCGGAAATACTAATAAAACATTTATTTTAATACAATGATTAAAATATATAAGGAAGCTAAAATAGTCCGTCCAAATTTATCACCACAGCAGAGCGAAGTCCTGCGCGTAATTAGTCCACCGGTTCAGACGTCTCTGACTGCCAGCTGCCTTCTGCTGCTGCTTCTGCTTCTGCTGCTTGCATTTGCTCAAAACTGCGGTGTGTTCCTGTTCTCGTTCTCGTGCCCCTTAAAAATAAAAACTCATTGGCCCATTTGTCATATGCCATTAATTGGTAACTTGTTCATAAACTCAAACCACACAATAAATCGTTAAACATGCAAACAATCATAAATCAATAAGTCATAAAACATGCAATCATAAATCAATGAATCGTAAATTATGCAATCAATAAAACATGCAATTGTCCCCAATCGTCCAACCAGCGACATTTTCTCCACTCCAAAAGTGTTATACTGAGCAAATGGCAATCAAACCAGGTGATACTTCCATCATGGCTCTGGTATGTCACCTGAGGTTTTATTCATTTCCTGATCAGCCAATCACGATCTTTGTGAGTCAACAGTTAAGCTCGGTGGTGTGTGCAAACATGGGGGCTGTTGACCTGTTGGCGCTGCTAAACAGAGCCTTGCATGAAGCCTTTGGCTCTACAGAGGGAGATGAGAGAGGAGCTGCATAGGAGTGGTGACAAGTTCATGAAGTTGATGGATTATTGAGTTCCTGCTGAAAGTGTATGGGTC